CATTCCTGTGATGTCTGGAACATGGTGGAAAGTCTCTACTTAAGGGTAAGTTTTGAGGAAATTGTTGTTTTTTCCTAGGTGGAGGTAGTTGGACGATGATCAGAAAAGTTGAAGTCTTGGCTTTTCGATTGGCTTTTTACAAAGAAGCAATAATTTATTTTGAAACACAAATCTAAGTGCCAGAAAGCAGCCAGTGACATGCTTGGTTTTTTAAAGTTAACTGGCTCAGCTTCAAAAACAGAAGCCATTCTACAGACTTTGTGGAGAGTTAATTGCTATGCCTCGTTATTCAGCAGATAGACACAACTCACTGTGTGTCTGAATTGAAAAACGTGGCTAGAAGAGTAACAGGTTATGCTTTCCTCACTGTAAAGTTGATTGCAGTGGTGACAATGAGACCTGTAACAGGTTTCCTTAATGGGATAACTATGCAAGCATAGTTCAAAATGTAGCTACTGTAAAATCACAGGATTAGTTTGTTTTGCTATTTTTGAATTCTGCATCCTGCCTATTAAAGGAAGTAGAACTAGCATGTAGAGGAAGGACATGCAGTGCTGCATTCTTGTAGATGGTTTATTAGAGACTATTTGTAAGCTGTCTTAATGGTATGCCATAGGTGTTTTCTTTACATCACAGTACCAGCTGACTGTTAGGAACTCCCTTAGTTGGATCTGCTGTGCTATAGTGCTCCAGTTTCTTAAATTGCAGATAGATGTTGATCGTTGTGGTAGATGGGGCCCTGGCTCTGAGTTCAAAAGAAATGCTTTGTTGCAGTGTTAGCATTCAGACAGCATAACTGAACTACAGTCTGCCTGCTTCCTATTGAGTGTAAAAGTACCTAAGTCTTCATAAATAAATATTAAAGAAACTTGGAACTGTTACTCAGATGCAACAATTTACTTCTTTTTAGGAAGTCCATGATGGTCCAGGTGGAACAAGTGTCTTGGTAAGTTAGTGTGACAGATTATTGGGCTTTTTTAATCCTTGCCTGTTGCAGGTTAGCTGTCTGTCTTAACTTGGTGAACTGGTTATATTGCTTTCCTTCTCACTGAGAAGATGCAGTGTTGCTTTAGAAAACGTAAGAGCTTATCTTTTCCCGAACTTGAGAATGCTGTGACAGAGTTGTTGTGATGATTGGCAAAATGTTCAACTGCTCTGAAGAGAGTGAGTGAGAATAGCCTGTCTGAACAAATCTACTACATAGGCATCCTTTTCATGTCACTTTACTCTGGGCATCCATTGTGAGTATTGAACAGTAGTGTTTTGTGTCAGTGAGCAAAGATCATGATTCTGACTTTCTGTTAAAAACAAACAGGAAATTAAGAAGAGTTGTCAAATTAAATAGGATAATATTCAAACATTACAGTAGCTTTATTCCAGGGAGAGAGGCCATCAAATGCCTG